ACCAGTTCATTTGTTGTTGAAAGAAATAGATGTTTCAACATAGGAGTTTCAATTAAGGTGGGGGTGAGGCAGAGAGAGAGAGAGGGGGGAGGGAGGTCGCCGGAGTGTCACATTATTTTTTTACGAGGTGGGCGGGGTTGTCTGATATTTTGGGACGATCTGGGAAATTTGGGGAGGTGGGAATAAAAAAAAATATAAAGCTTTGGGGGGGGGGGGTAGTCCATTAACGACGTCATACTCTAAGGGGGGGGGGGGGATCCGGACTTTTGTGACCATGTGTGACGAGAGGTGAATGAGTTGGGGGGGGGGGCTTAGAAAGTGTGACGACACACTTTTGAGTTTAAAAAGTTATATTAGAAACTGGAGAGGTTTTTTTATATAAATTGTAACAAAAGTGTTATCTGTATAGTCAATTATTGACTGACCTAAGTAATTATTGTTAGAAAGAAATTGCAGTTTAAAGTATATAAATAAAAATGTAATTTTGAAAGGGGGGGGGGGGGAAGCTGAGATGTGATGTCATTTTAGCGGAGGGATCTGGCTTTTTGTGACGATGTGTGAAAGTGCAGAGGGGAGGTAAAAATTCTTTTTGAGAGTGATGTCAATTATAGATGTCATTTAGACATACATTTTTAAATCAATTTATAGACTATCGTTTAAAAAAATATCTCCTCGTAAGGAGGAACAGCATTGCAATCCGATGGACATATTTTCTAATTCCAGATTACATAAGATGTCAGCTTTTCAGCTCCCCCCCCCCCCCCACAAAATAAACAGCATAACAGTAATATAGTTAGTAGAAACAGATGCGTGTAGCATGTCACCAGATGAGGTAACTGAGGGTGTCACCAGGTGAGGCTACTGAGGGTGTCACCAGGTGAGGTAACTGAGGGTGTCACCAGGTGAGGTCACTGAGAGTGTCACCAGGTGAGGTAACTGAGGGTGTCACCAGGTGAGGTAACTGAGGGTGTCACCAGGTGAGGTAACTGAGGGTGTCACCAGGTGAGGTAACTGAGAGTGTCACCAGTTGAGGTAACTGTGGGTGTCACCAGGTGAGGTAACTGAGGGTGTCACCAGGTGAGGTAACTGAGGGTGTCACCAGGTGAGGTAACTGAGGGTGTCACCAGGTGAGGTAACTGAGGGTGTCACCAGTTGAGGTAGCTGAGGGTGTCACCAGGTGAAGTAACTGAGGGTGTCACCAGGTGAGGTAACTGAGGGTGTCACCAGGCGAGGTAACTGAGGGTGTCACCAGGTGAGGTAGCTGAGGGTGTCACCAGGTGTAGTAACTGAGGGTGTTACCAGGTGAGGTAACTGAGGGTGTCACCAGGTGTAGTAACTGAGGGTGTCACCAGGTGAGGTAACTGTGGGTGTCACCAGTTGAGGTCACTGAGGGTGTCACCAGGTGAGGTAACTGAGGATGTCACCAGGTGTAGTAACTGATTGGTGTCACCAGGTGTAGTAACTGGGGGTGTCACCAGGTGTGGTATATGAGGGTGTCACACACACTCCCACTCCAACAATTTAGCAATTTCTGATATTTTGTTGTTTGAACTGGATAAAACATTATTTTGACAGCCAATCTTTACAATTTTTCGATTTATGTCACCCCTTTAAAAATGAATCACGTGGAAGCGGTGCACACGAAATCCTCCTCCCCCACCTCCTTACCCGCATTGTAATTGGAACTGTTATTGTAAGACTTAAAACGTACTATCCTACATGCCATCTAAAATGCGCAACTAAACAGCCACCAGCTCCGCACCAAACTCCATTCATCGTGTTTACAGCAGCACACGTCTGAAGGCAGATTAACTTGTCTCCCCACTAGCAGAAAACTCTGACGCTTTGAAAAGCTCATTTACATAATGTAATGTAATTTAATATTATGGCATGAAAAAAGATACACTATTAATTACGGGAAAGAAATAGGCGGTGGTTAAGAATGATGATAGAATGTACAATTATATAGGCCTATTAGACAAGTATGAAGCGACGCTTTACATCATTGTGTGGAGAATGTCCGTAATTTTGTGACGGTGTGTGATGAGGGGGGTGGGGGGAGGGGGGGGGGGGTCAAATGGTGTGACGTCGCATTTTTGCATTATAAAAAAACCAATGTTAGGAACCTAATTTGAGCCGTTATTACGCGTTTTAGAAAACTGTTATAATAAATTGTAATAGGAATTGATTAAAATACTCTATGTTGATAGTGTTCAGACTAGGTTTTGGAGAAATATAGTATTTTAGGGGGGGGGGGGGGCTGTAGCTTGTTGTGACGATGTGTGACGGAGGGGAGGAGGGGGGAGGTAAATATTTTCCAAAAAAGCGTGACGTCATTTATGGATACCCCCTATACTGTCTGTCTTTTGTTTCGGTTTAGAGAAAAAGACAACACTATATATGTATTTATCCCTCAAAAAATAGACAAATATTTGGGGAAAATATGGGTTTTTACTGAAAGAAACTAACATGTTTTTTCTCTCTTAATACTCTTCCTCTTCCTATCCGTGACTCATTTTATAGCACATTTGATGACTAATTAATTAAACACATTAGTATTTAGATAAACGCAAGATAATTACTTAAGAAAAATAGAAACACGCACATTAACACAAGTGAAGTACAACTTACAACACATAGCTAAATCACATACAGACGAATTATCACATAATCAACGGAAACACACAATTCAGCACACATAGAAATATTAGAAACTCGTAACTAAATAGACATAGAAACATAAGTGTCTACACTTGGGTGGTATTAGAAAAACAATTAGAGAGTTGGGGGTAGGCGTTAACATAAAGGTGAGTATAGAGCAGCGCTGACCGGTCAGAAGTTGGTCGGAGTTTGGTGTAGAGCAAGGGTCTCCAAACTACGGCCCGCGGGCCGGATGCGGCACACGAGGTCCTCTCATCCGGCCCGCGGAAATTGTTTTGTCCAAGGAAAAAAATGTTTGTTGGAGGTAGCTGAGAAATCATTCAAATCAAATCGAAAAATGTAGCATTGGGTGCAAATACCATTGAAGACAATGTGGCCAGTTGCCCAGCAAATGACCTCCTCAGAGACAAGTTCAAATAAGGGCGGGTGAGGTTTTATAAGTATTTGCTTAAGGGAGACTTTCCTAATATTACAACCTGTGCTTCAAAGTACCTTTAAGAGTCGTTCTTCGGGGTAGGGGGAGGGGGGCTCCGCCACCCCGAAGAGATACCTGAAAGAAACTCTGGCCCCCGAACTTATATTTGATAGATAATGTGGCCCTCGTGCTGAAAAGTTTGGAGACCCCCTGGTGTAGAGCGCCTAAGCCAGCCCCCTCCACCTCCACCCCCGAACGCAATATAATTTATTTAGAAAATATATACTTTACCAGTGTTGCCCCCCCCCCCCCCCCCCCCCCCCCCGGAGAATTTTATTCGTCCCTGCAAAAATTTCAAATGCCCCTACCCCCACCCCAGGAAAAAAGTATGAAAGTAACAATACCTGCGTGATTGAAATTTGGAGATCAAAAGTAGGAAACGGGACTAGATTATAGAAGTAGTGTCTACCTTTAGCCTGTATGATCTACAAATGCAACCTGTGTTTTTTTCTTTCAGACTTTTTTTCAGGATAAAAACCAGTCTTCAAGGGCATTTTCGTTTCCGGTTAAATTTGAAGTTGAAATGGTGATTTTGGTTTTGGTTTAAAAAAAAAGACAACACTATCAACCTAGCGCTCGTTATATTTCTCCCTCAACGGCCATTTATCTCGTCTATAATAATAGTGTCGCTGTCTGTCACTCTGTCACTCTGTCTGTTGGGGACGCTTTTACCATAGAGAAAACACAAGCATAGTTAAAACATTCACAGTATTACGGAAAACGAAACGTGACATGGAACATATAGTAGGAAATAGTCTAAAGCCGGGAAAGTACATACAATAATATGACGTCATTGATTCTCCAGTAAACAATGAATTAAAAAGCCAATGCCGAAAAAATACACAACAGTTTTGACGTCACAGATACTCTATCATAAAAACACCTAGTATGAATAGGCAGTAACTACGTGCCGATCTAAGTTAAATTCGGTTAAAATGCCGATTCTGGATAAAAATCCGTTTTCAGTAAAAATTTTCGTTTCCGGTTAAATTTGAAGTTGAAGTGGTGATTTTTGTTTTGGTTTCGATTTAGAGAAAAAGACAACACTATCAACCTAGCGCCCGTATTATTTCTCCCTCAACGGGGCATTTACCTCTTTATTAATATAGATACAAGAAAAGATGTTCTCAAATTTTTTTGGATACATTTTGACTATTTTAAATTAAAAAATTAAAAAAAATTAAGTTCCCTTCTTGACACTCAAGTGGATGGGTAATAGGAAGGGGGTGGGGGATATTCCTAGAAATGTGAGACTCTGTAACCTTTGGAGTGGTGGCCTAAAGTACAGGGTTTCTTTCAGATATTTTACTCGAGGGGGGGGGGGGGGCAGTGTTCACCCACTCTCCTAGATGTCTGAAAAAAACCGCAATGGTTATATAACATGGGGTGGGTACAAAAACGTCTCATTTTTGTGTTACACAATATGTCCACGATCCTTTTTCCGAAAGCACGGTGTCGTCGTTAGAAGATAATCAACAACATTGGTTACCTGGCCGTCGCCATGACAACATGGCGTGCAACTCGCCACCGCGTGGGCTGGGCGCGCGCTGAAGTGTGACACACTCGGGGCTAGCAGTAAAAAAAAAAGGAAGCAAACTGTGGCGCGCTAACGCCATGTAGACCGGTGTATGGTGGGTTTGAAATTTTTTTTTGGTATCGATTGTCGTGAACAGGATCTTGTAAGTTTAGTGTCAACATACGACTCAAGAAGAAAGCCACGTTTGGGGGGAACAAGGGAACAATAGAGTGGGAACTTAGATAAGGCTACGCAGGGAACAAACATAAAGGTAAGTCTCTTTGTTTTTTTACTCCGAGAATTAGAAAGTTTCTTTTACAAAGATAAACAAGTTAGGTGAACGATACTTTTTCCCGGAATTTTTTTATTTTTATTTTTTTTTTATTTTTGGAGAGGTAACCAACATCTGTTTATAGAAAGACCGTCGAATTAGTTCTGGCATAAAGTAACGATTTTGTAGCACGACAAATCAATTGTGATCGATAGAAAATACTTTCGCTGCTAAGATGATTGTGCCGGGATTTATCAGTAAAAAAGTAATTTACTAATGGTGCACATCAGCCTGTGTTTCATGCGGTATTGAAATAGGTTTAGGAAGCATTTTTTACAGATTGAATACAGGAATATTTTAACTGTACATTAAGGTACGCCAACGTCATTATTAATTTATGCTTTTATTTCTTACATGTAAGCTTGTGTTAGCGTCCTTCTCCCTCACCCCTATCCCTAAAAAACGTTAGCCAGCCGCTCCCCCTCCCTCCATCATTATTATGCTACCCCCAGAAAAGCGAGTCACACACCTATCATATATTGTTGTGTTCTTTTGTTCTGACTTTTGTTTTATTTGATATGAAATGGGTTATCAAACGTCCATTACGGCCGTCAACCTTGATTTTTCATCCCACACCTTCTATGGTTTATATGTGTAGATGACGTAGAGTCTCACTGTTTCAGTAGTGTATGAAGAGTTTATGTTGTTGATTTTTTGTTTATTCAGATCGCGTGAAATTTTGACTGGTTGGTAATTACATTAATATAATATTTTTGTTGAATCAGCCTACGGACAGTTGTTTTTTTGTTCAGTCGGCCTACGGACAATTGTCGTTTGTTCAATCGGCCTACGGACAGTTGTCTTTTATTCAATCAGTTTAATCAGATTTCTGACAGTTGTTTTTTGATCAGTAAACATAAAAAAGTGACATTTCAATATATAGAATGTGAAATATAACAAACAACTCACGCATTATTCTAACAGGATGCACAATGTCTATGTGGTGATAAAGTAAAAATCTTTCACAATTCTAAAGAAAAAAAAAAAAAAAAAAAAAAAAAAAAAAAAAAACCAAACAATAAAACAAAACGAAACTAACAACGTAATCAACCAAACGATAAGTATCTCCCCCCAAAACCCAACTGATGCATGAAGGAGTTTCCAAACGAGAATCGAATCCAACAGAGGTCAAGAAATCGATATACCTCATTTATTTATTGATCTCGCTTCGCTGAAGCTCATTTATATGACACTCACCTAAACAAAAACCCAACGGAAGGCAGGCTTAAAACATGCTTCATATACTTCGTTATGTAAAGTAAACAGCATTCTTCTTCTGTTAAATCAGAACAGTGTTTATTGTCTATCATTTTATTAACTGTTTAAAAGCGGTGTGAACAAACGCCGATGGTAGGAAGTTGCGAAAGGAGTTAAACATAACACGATAAAGTCGTTATTTAAGAAAATAACAAGTACTATTAAACTGCTGTAAAATAGTTAATTCAATAAACTGTTAAAGGTAGGCCCTACGTCACACGTGTCCGTTCAATCGTGTCTAGATGATATCACTTCCTCTTGCCAATTCGGCATCTCTCTGTTCATAATCCTGGTCATTACAGTCATCTTCATAACTTTAGGTCGTATATATATATATATATATATATATATATATATATATATATATATATATATATATATATATATATACACCTGTCATTTCAGGAATGATCATAAACTTGATCTCATATACCCTTGTCGTTATTATAATGTTCATTATTCTAGTCTCATCTGTCCTCTATATAAAATATATTACATCATGTAGTATAATGTACCGATCGGCGTATAGTGTAGGCCTATTTATCAATAGATAGTATTGTATAAATATCTTCGGTAATGAATACATTAGCTTGGAATAAAAAGTTAAGTTACTACGTAACGCGTTGACGCATGTAATTAAAGCAGTACATTAATTGTTATGTCTTAAATTAGGCATCAACGTAATATATAGTGTATCGGTAAAACATATACAGTAGTACATTATATATATATATATATATATATATATATATATATATATATATATATATATATATATATATATATATATATATATATATATATATATATATATATATATATATATATATATTATATATATATATATATATATAAAAGCGGGTGTGTATATGTATTATTTAGAAATTTAATTATTTTGAAATTGATTTTCATGGAAGTATGTGATGTATTGTGTGCATGTCTGTGTAGTGTATGATGATGTATCGATGTGCATATAACCAGTCAAGCTAATCCCACTGTTGTATTTGTCAACAAAGCTCAATGAAGAGAAGAAAAAACCCAACATTTTTTAATGATCTAAACTTGTTTATATAACTAGTGAAGGCTAGCTTCACTTGTGTATTCTCGCTACCTGTCATTTATGTTTTGTTTGATGGATGTATATGTCTGTTTAATATGTGTGTGTATGTGTGTCGCTGGCCATTTTATTGGTGTGCGATTTTTAACTGTATTTAAATGGTGTGTGAATTTGTCCCTGGTCATTGAATGAGTGAGTAGTTGTCGATAATGAAGTTAACGGCGAGCATTTGTCGCTAGACATTTTATTGATGTATGCATGTATGCATGTATGCATGTATGCATGTATGCATGTATGCATGTATGCATGTATGCATGTATGCATGCATGTATGTATGTATGTTTTGTCGCAACAATGTGAAACAATGGGTAACAAGGTGTGTGTGGTGTGGGGCGGGGGACTGCTGTGTCGGCTTATCGTCACGCCCCTATGTGAATGTTTTGTTCTACACTGTCAGCGGAGTCCCACGTTAAGGAGATAGGGCTTACATCTCGTGGTCACGCCCCTATGTGAATGTTTTGTTCTACACTGTCAGCGGAGTCCCACGTTAAGGAGATAGGGCTTACATCTCGTGGTCACGTCCCTATGTGAATGTTTTGTTCTTCACTGTCAGCGGAGTCCCACGTTAAGGAGATAGGGCTTACATCTCCTGTGTCACGTCTTGTCATAGACGTCAGTTATGTAATCTCCTAGTGCTTCCTTAAGTGTGGCGGATAAAGGTGGGAGGGGCGTAGATGTTGTGTGTAGAGGGGTAGCTGTCGTTGTGTGTGTGTGTGTGTGTGTGTGTGTGTGGTAGCTGTTGTGTGTTTCGGGTAGCTGTTTGTGTGTGGTTGTGTTTGTGTGGGGGGGGTAGCTGTTGTGTGTAGAGGGGTAGCTGTTGTTTGTGTGTGTTTGTGTGTGGGGTAGCTGCTGTGTCTGGGGGTAGCTGGTGTGTGTGTGGTAGCTGTTGAGTGTGAGTGTGTGTGGGGGTAACTGGTGTGTGTTGTAGATTTTTGGCTTTTGTATGTGGTTAACCCTGGTGTGTGGGGAGGGGGTTAGCTGTTGTGTGGGGAGGGGGTTAGCTGTTGTGTGTGGGGTAGCTGTTGTGTGTGGGGTAGCTGTTGTGTGTGGGGTAGCTGTTGTGTGTGGGGTAGCTGTTGTGTGTGGGGTAGCTGTTGTGTGTGGGGTAGCTGTTGTGTGGAGGGTAGCTGTTGTTTTCTGTAGCTGTTTGGTTTTGTATGGTGTTAACCCTGGTGTGTGTGGAGGGAGTTCACTGTTGTGTGTATGTCGGGGTATTTTTGTGTTTGTGAGGGTAGATGTGTGTGTGGGGAGCTGGTGTGTGTGGGGGGGGGGGTGTTAGCGGGTGTGTGTATGGTAGCTTTTGGCTTTTTTATGTGGGGTTGGCTGTTGTTTGTGTATGTGTGGTAGTTGTGTGGGTGAGCTATTGATTGTGTGGAGGGGTAATTGTTTTGTGTGGGGAGTGGCTGTTGTGTGTGTGTTTTTTGTAGCTGTTGCGTGTGTGTTTTTGTAGTGGTTTTTGGTGGGGGGTAGCTGCTGTGTATGTGTGGTAGCTGTTGTGTGAGTGTGTGGGTAGCGGTTGTTTGATGGTCTCGTCAAAGGCTCGTATGGTCTATAAACATATCTCGGCACTGTCCACTCCCCTCTCCGTAAAGTAATTATAAAAGCATCTCTTCGACTTAATCCGCACCCCAGAAATTGCTAATCCGAATGTATCGAATGTTTCTACTCTATAAGCAGAGTTGCTTCCAGGCATCTCTTAGAGGGGGGGGGGGGGGCAGAGTACCCCCGAAGAAAGTCTACCACCTCCTTCCCCCCCGAACGAAATGGAATTTATTTAGAAAATATATACTTTTACCAGTGTCTACCCCGCCCCGGAAAATGTTAACCGCCCTTCCGAAATTATCAAGTGCCCCCCGGCAAAAAAAAAATCTGGAAGAAACACTGTCCGATAGACGTTCCTGAGTCCACCCAGCATTAATGAGTACCCGACTCAAGTTAAGGAAAGTAAACGCAGCTAGGTTTAGAACTGACGGCACGTTTCCTTATATGTCGAGGTCACGGAAACAGGTTATATTCATCCCCTCGACATCCCACTATGGGTTCACGTGACCACGCCCCCACTACATTTAATTAAGTTCAATTAATAACAGCTAAAAATAAATTTGATTGAGGTGACCTCTATAAAAAGTTAATGGATGACTAATATCTACTTAAAGCGTTCCATCCCCCCCCCCCCTAACCTATCATTCGTTGATGTATGCCCTAAGGTCTGAGTGATTGCCCCTTGTAACGTGTTGATCTTTCAACACTTTACAAAGCATACGTGTACAACCTTTCTTCCCCCCCCCCTCTCCCCACAACACACACCGATGACAACATGCCACACAAACAAACATACAATCACTATTTATAGTAACTCATGTCTTAACCTTAACAAAGCAACAAAACAACTCATGTCTTAACCTTAACAAAGCAACAAAACAATCCCAAAACCATTCGTGTAATTGAAAGACATTTTCAGTTACTGGTTTTTTGTTTATTCCCCGAAATATCGTTTCTTTAAGAAGGTGGGCGTTACTGGCCCAATAGTCTAGAGTTGGTAGGCGATACTGGCCCATATAGTTTA